GGGGAGTAGCTCCCTCTTTTTTTAAAACCCTTGGTAAATAATTCAAAAAAACCCTTTTTCAGCATTTAAAAACTTACCCCCATTTAACTTGAAATTTTTACAGGGTTATTTATCATTGTTTTCAAATAATAAAATGAATAAAAAATTTATTTTTATTTTTTTTAAATAGTTAATGTAAAACATTTGAATTTAAACCCCTAATTGAAACCCTTTGAAGAATTAATTTGTCACCTTAATTTTTTTTTTAAAACCCCCCCGAATTTTTTCCTGGTATACTCAGTAAACTTATTCCTCTTAATTTTTCGCTTTTTTTCCCCCTTTTCCCCTTTATATAAAGGGACTAAAATGCCCCCCTTTCCAACCCCTAGGTACCTTCCCTCTTTCTACATTTATTAAAAAAAAGTACCAACCACTAAACTATTTCCCCCGCTTTTAACATTTTGTCATGACCCATCAGTTCCAGTGCTTTCCCCCCTTTCATTTTATTTAAGGGCCTCACGTACCCCCCCCAATTACATTCTGCCATTTCACCCAAAAAGATGGTTACCCCCCTGCCAGTGCTGAAATTACTGCCTCTTTTTCTTCCTAACTTTTTTTAAAAAATTTCTCAAAATTTTTTTTTTGCCTTTTTTACCTAATACCCTCCATTTTTTTTTTCTACTAACTCCCCTACTCTGTTTTTTGAAAAACCCTTTTTCCCTTTCTTTCTTTTTTTACCTCCAAATTTTTTAATTTTTTTTAAAAAATTTCTTAAGTCCTTTTTTCCCATTTTATCACCTCCCTTTTCATTTCCCCCCAAATTCTTTCCTTTTTTTTCCTCTCCAAACCCCCTTTTTATAAACCCAAAAACTTCTGCCCCCCTTTTTTATCCATTTTTATTTTCCCAAACCCTTTTTCCCCCCCCACCCTCCTATCACAAACCCCCCCTTCAATACGTTTTTTAAAATACCCAACCCCCCCCCCCCCCCCCCCCCCCCCCCCCCCCCCCCCGAATTTCCTCCTCCCTTGTTTATACACTTTCACCCCCCTCTTACTTGTTTTTGCCACCTTCCTCTTTTCCCTTTTCTACCTCTTACTCTAACTGGGCTACAACTAAATAATGATCGATATTCAGTTGCCCCCCTATAAACATGTACTTTGGAGCTACCCACAACCTTTCATCCCCTAATAATAATAAATAAACTACTTTCATTACTGCTACATCATACCCTTTTATATTTTTTTTCCTCTTTTTTATAAAATATGAATTCTTATTACCAAATTTCTTTTTACACGCTCAATTAAAGGCTCCCCTTTCATTTACCCCTGGCCCCCTCCTACTCCATATCCCTCCATAACATTTTTACCACTTTACATTGAAATCCCCCAAACCCCCATTACTCTCACACTTGATTCAAAACTCCCCACACATTCACTCAAATAAACACTTAAATTATGGACAAATCACTCAAAAATAAAAAGGCACAATACTATGACAAAAATACACAAATAACTTACACTTGAAAAGTGAATTTATGACATTTCATCTGTCGCTGTATAGTCCTTGTGGTTAGGTTCTTTTTGATTATATAATAATAAATTTAGTCTTTATCTGAAACCATTTAAATTTTAACAGAAACATGAAAGGGAAGGGGGCCCTTTAAAAAACCGGAATGGCTTGCTGAGTTCCTGAAAGGGCCCCTCTCAGATTTACCCGGTGGGCACTAACAATGTTAGTTACCTTTCCCCCATAATTTTGGTGGGGGTTTCAAAGGAGGGAATAAATGGGATTAGGTCGGGGGTTTTTTAAAATAGGTTAGAGCTAAAAAAGGAGTAGCAATATGTTGAAAGATAAACTATGGCAGGAAAAGGGGACTAAAATGTATAAATTCAAGGATTTTGGGGAGAAAAAAAGATTGGATGTGAAAAGTGGGTTATAGTAAGTGTGTATGCACCCTTGAGAAGAGAGAAGTGTAGAGGAGAGAGAGAGATTTTGGGAAATGTTGAGTGAATGCGTGGGGAGTTTTGAATTTAAGGTGAGAGTAAGGTGGTTGGGGGTTTCAAGCTAAGTGGGTAAAAATGTTATAGAGGGGGTAGTAGGGAAATTTTGGGGTGAGGGGGAAAGAAAACCCAAATTTGGTATTTAAAAAATTTTTTAATAATAATACATTTTTTTAAAAAAAAAATAAAAACAAACAATCCTAAAAAAATATTTTTAATTTTTATTTATAAAATTAACTCAATTACTTTTTTAACAAAATTAATCTTTATTATTTATAAAATAAAAATAAAAAAATCAACAAAAAATAAAATCAAATTTAAAATAAAAATTCCAATTCCTTTTTCCCAAAATCTTTTTTTTTTTTTTTTTTTGGGGGGGGTTGTTTTAAAAACATTTGTTGGGGGCAAATTTGGTGTTATAGGGAGGGGTTGGGGGCAGGAGAAAGAGGAGTGATTGGGTTTGGGAAGTGAAAATAAAGCGTTTTAAAGGGGGGAAAAAGGGTAGTAGAGAGGTTTTTAAAAAAAGAAGTTGTTAAAGAGGGGAAAAGGGATTGGGGAGTTTAAAAAAAAAGGGTGAAAAGAGTGGGAGAGAGTGAAAAGGAGAGAGATGAAAGAGTGGGAGAGGGACTGTCAAAAAAATTTTTAAAGAAAGTAAGAAAAAATTTTGGATTGATTAAACAAGTTCAAAAAGCTAGGGAAAGTAGGATTTGTAGTTAAAAACAGAGTGGGGGGTTAGTAGATAGGGAAAGGGGGAGTGGCAAGAATATTTTCAGGACTTTTAAATGTTAAGGAAAAAAGGGAGGCGTAATTTCTGCATGGTCAGGGAGGTATCCATCTTTTAGGAGTGAAGAAGAGGAAGTAAGTGTGGTGGAGGTATGTGAGGAATTACGCAGAAGAAAGGGGGTAAAACAGTGGAACTGATGGGTCATGACGAATGTTAAAAGAGGGGGGGATATAGTGTTGGAGTGGTTGGTACTTTTGTTTTAATTTAAAAGTTGAAAGAGGGGAAGGTACCAGGGATTGGCAGAGAGCATGTTGTCCCTTTATATAAAGGGAAAGGGGAAAAAGAGATTGTAAAAATTATAGAGGAATAAGTTTACTAGTATACCAGGGGAAAGTTTTCGGTAGGGGTTTAATGAAAGAATTTGGGGGTAAGCAGAAAAGTAGGATTGGGATGGGAGGGAGGCTTCAGAGTGGGTAGGGGATGTGCAGATCAATGTTTTTTGAAGTTATATGTGAACCCGTATTTAGATAAAGGTAGGGAAAATTTTTTATTGCTTTATGGATTTTGAAAAGGCATATGATAGGTGGATAGAGGAGCAAAGTGGGGAGTGTTTCAAGTAATGGATAGGGGTAAGTTACTAAATGCTGTAAAAAGGGTTTTTTGAGGATAGTGAAAGGGTAGGTTAGGGTGTGTAGAAGGAGGGAGAATACTTCCCGGTAAAAGTAGGTCTTAGACAGGGATGTGTAATGTCAAATGGTTGTTTAATATATTTATAGATGGGGTTGTAAAAAAAGTAAATCCCAGGGTGTTCGGGAGAGGGGGGGGAAAATTAAATTATGGGGATCAAATTCAAAATGGGGAAATTTCACAGTTCTTTTTGTGGATATGGCTTTGGGAGTTCTAAAGAAAAAAATTTCAAAGGTTAGTGGATGAGTTTGAGAATGTGTGTAAAGGTAGAAAGTTTAAAGTGAACATGAAAAGAGTAAGGTGTGAGGGGTTTAATGATTTGGGATAAAGAAAAAATTTGGGTATCAAATTGGGGGGGGAAGGAGGGGAGGAGAAGGGGAATGTTTTCAGATACTTGGGAGTTGACGTGTTGGCGGGTGGATTTATGAAGGATGAGGTTAATCATAGAATTTATGAGGGGAAAAAAAGGGGAGTGGGGCGTTTTAGGTATATGTGGGGTCAAAAAAGTTATTTTATGGAGGCAAGAAGGGAAAGTATGAAAGATAGTAGACCAACACTCTTTATGGATGGAAGCTTGGGTGGAAAAGCGCAGCGAGGAGAGGTTTGGAGGAGTGGAGATTTCCGTCAAGGGGGAATGTGTGGTGTAAATATTATGCAGAAAATTTTGGAGTGTGGAAATTAGGAGAAGTTTTGGAGTTAAAAAAAGCATTAGTCAGGAGCAGAAAAAGGGGGGGTTTTTGGGGGTGGTTTGGGCCCTTTAGAGAGAATGGCAAAGTAGAATGACATGGAAAGCATATAAATCTTAGGGGAAGGAAGGAGGGGTAGGGGTCGTCCTCGAAAGGGTTGGAAAAGGGGGTAAAAGGGGGTTTTGTGGGCTAGGGGCTTGGACTTCCAGCAAACGTGCATGAGCGTGTTATAGGAGTGAAGGAGGTGAATGATACTGGGACCTGACGATCTGTTGGAGGTGAGGGGTAATATTTAGTGAAGGGGGTTCAGGGAAACCCGGGTTTTGTTCATATAGTCGGACTTGGTCCTGGAAATGGGGAAATACAATGCTGCACTTTTTAAAGGGGGGATTTGGATATTGGCAGTTTTAGGGATATGTTGTGTTCTTTATAAGTATATGCTTCTAAGCTGTTGGATTCTGAGCACCTATGCAAAAGCAGTGATAATGTGTGAGTGTGGTGAAAGTGTTGAATGATGATGAAAGTATTTTCTTTTTGGGGATTTTCTTCCTTTTTCGGGTCACCCTGCCTCGGTGGGAGACGGCCGACTTGTTGAAAAAAAAAAAAAAAAAAATGTACAGCTTTAGTTAACCATTTTCCTTGGGTGCGTTCATGTAATACTTTGCCTCTTTATTTTTATTACAGAAGGATAATAAAGTAAATATACAAGTCACTACAGTCATTTCTTTACAAAGTAAATAGAATGAGCTCAAAAAATATTGTGCTATAATTACTAGAGATTTATAAATCTATGTAAATTAATTTTGGCATAGGACCAGAGAAAGTTACTTGTGTAAATAAAAAAAAGAAAAAAACACAACTGTATAAAGAATTCTTTTGGATGAAGAACTGTAAGCAGTTATTCCCATTTTAACAACAAATACATTCATGCAGTCCCGTCCTGTGTTTGAGAATATAGTCTTTAAAGGTTCAGAGTTGTAGCACCCCCCACCACCTCTTAAGCCCATTCCCCTGTTAAATGTTGTTTTGGGAAAAAGACTAATGTCTTTTAGGCGTTTTTTTTCCTAGCGCAGTACATCTCACCTTATTTTTTCCCAAAAAAACCTCATCCAGACTCCCTGGAGCATCTGGTAAAACTTCATCAAGTAACGACAATGTCGGACAGCCTCATAACGTTATCTTCGTCTAACTGTCCGCCCCTTTTCGTGAGGTCATTGCATCACTATTTACTGAAACAAAAAAAATTTCAATGATACCTTAAAAAATCAACAACATTTTTTTGCAATTAGGGGAAGCACATCAAATTTTTAACCCAAATTTAAGTAAACCCCTTTTAAAAATACAAGTTCACTTTAGACTAAAAAACCCGTACACAGAGCTAGATTTTTGGTGTTTTTTCTCATTTTTTTTTTTCAACAAGTTTGGGCCCTCTCCCCCGAGGCAGGGGACCCAACAAGAAAGAAAAAACCCCAAAAAAAAAAATCTTTCATCATCATTCAACATTTCACCTCACTCACACATAATCACGTTTTTTCAGAGGTGCTCAGAACACAACAGTTTAGAAGATATCGTATAAGATACACAACATATCCCTCCAAACTGCTAATATCCCAAAACCCCTCCATTAGAGTGCAGTCATTGTACTTCCCATTTCCAGGACTCAAGTCCGGCTATATAAAAATAACCGGTTTCCCTGAATCCCTTCACTAAATATTACCCTGCTCACACTCCAACAGATCATCAAGTCCCAAATACCATTCGTCTCCATTTACTCCTATCGAATACGCTCATGCACACCTGCTGGAAGTCCAAGCCCCTCGCCCACAGAACTTCCCTTACCCCTTCCTTCCTTAGCTCATACCATGGTAAATTATAAAATAATTAAATATTGTGAGTATTATGTTGTGGGTTATATAATGTGTGGGGAAGGAGGGTAAACACACTGTAACTAGAGCTGGGCTGTACAAGAGGGCCCTGCTTATACAGCAGGTCAGGTTCCGGGTTACTGCTGTAAAATGAAAATAGCTGTAAAGTGAAAATCACTGTAAAGTGAAAATCACTGTAAAGTGAAACTGTTTTTTTCACTTTCAAATGCTTATAAAAGCCTGATAACATGTTTACACTATCATATATTAAGCGAGCAATAGAGCTAGGCCTCAAAAATGCATATTTAGTGCACACATTACTTTTTTTTTTAACACATTGGCCGTTTCCCACCGAGGCAGGGTGACCTAAAAACAAAGAAAATCCCAAAAAGAAAGAAAAATACTTTCATCATTATTCAACACTTTCACCATCACTCATACATAATCACTGTCTTTGCAGAGTCGCTCAGATATGACAGTTTAGAAGTCCCTCCAAACTGCCAATATCCCAAACCTCTTCTTTAAAGTGCAGATATTGTATTTCCCATTTCCAGGACTCAAGTCCAGCTAACCGGTTTCCCTGAATCCCTTCACATAATATTACCTTGCTCACACTCCAACAGCTCGTCAGGTCCCAAAAACTATTCATCTCCTTTCACTCCTATCTAACACGCTCATGCATGCTTGCTGGAAGTCCAAGCCCCTCGCCCACAAAACCTCCTTTACCTCCTCCCTCCAAAATTTTTTGAAGACGACCCCTACTCTGCCTTCCTTACCCTACAGATTTATACGGTCTCCAAGTCATTCTACTTTGTTCCATTGTTTCCATTATTCCACCAATAACTCCTCTTCCCTCCTGCCCCCACCCTCCTATAACCACAAACTTCTGCCCCACATTCTAATACTGCACTTTTAAAAATATTCCAACCCTCTTCAACCCCCCCCCCCACTACTCATCTTTGCACTACCCCACCTTTCTCCCAAATTTGTCGTTATATCTCACCCGAACTTCCTCCTCCTTATTTTTACACACTTTCACCTCCCTCTTACTTGTTGTTGCCACCTTCCTCTTTTCCTTTCTACCTCTTACTCTAACTGTAGCTACAACTAAATAATGACCCGATATATCAGTTGCCCCTCTATAAACATGTACATCCTGGAGCCTACCCATCAACCTTTTATCCACCAATACATAATCTAACAAACTACTTTCATTACGTGCTACATCATACCTTGTATATTTATTTATCCTCTTTTTCATAAAAATTGTATTACTTATTACCAAATTTCTTTTACACATAGCTCAATTAAAGGCCCCCCATTTACATTTACCCCTGGCACCCAAATTTACCTACTACTCCCTCCATAACATTTTTACCCACTTGGCATTGAAATCCCAACCACCATTACTCTCACACTTGATTCAAAACTCACCACGCATTTACTCGACATTTCCCAAAATCTCTCTCTCCTCTACACTTCTCTCTTCTCCAGATGCATACACGCTTACTATAACCCACTTTTCACATCCAATCTTTATTTTACTCCACATAATCCTTGAATTAATACATTTGTAGTTCCTCTTTTCCTGCCATAGCCTATCCTTCAACATTATTGCTACTCCTTCTTTAGCTCTAACTCTATTTGAAACCCCTGACCTAATCCCATTTATTCCTCTCCATTGAAACTCTCCCACCCCCTTCAGATACATGTATATATTATTATAATCAAAACTAAGTGCTAAACCCACCAGGGTCATACAGCACTGCAACTAGATATAAAGTATCTAACACAAAAGAACACACTGTACTAACCTCCCACAATTAGGTAGACATTAGAGAACAAATTTTTTGCCTGCATTAGCTGCCGAGCATGTCCTTGATGAAAGAGATCGTAAATACCATCAGCATACACCCTAATGGCTCGTGGAGATGTTCCTGCCCTTGCCATTTCCAATGTGATTTTCTGAGTGTAGTTGCAGGCATTTCTGTCTCGCACAGCTTCTTCATCATCCGAAAATGGCGCTGGTTTACAAATTGTCTGAAAGTAAAGGTATATACTGTAGTGAAGAATAAAACAAATACACTGGAACCTTTACAAAACCAGGATGATTAATTTCCACTTAAGAGCTTTTGTTTTGTAACCTATTTCTACACTCATAATGCTAACATTAGTCCCAGGACCAATTTTTTTCTAATGTTCTAGTGTTTGCTCACACATCTTAAAACCAGTAAAAACATTACTGTGTAACATGTTACACTCATATATACAATAATGTATAGAGGCAAGACTATATTTAAATGACAGAACAGAAAACAAGGCACCATAAAGAAGACTGAAGAAGCAAATTTTATGCCACAAAATTGGTCACATTTTAGTGTCACGGTCACTTTTCCGACAGTCTAGAGTCATAGTAAAAACTCACTTTGGCATAGATGGAAGGACTGCTTATTTATACATTTGTCATCTTTATGTTTAACAAATAGTCATATTAGTATAATGACATAAAACATAAAATACCAACTTACTAAAACTTAAAAAAAAAAAAGAAAATCCCATTTCTTTATAAATCTTTACCCACCATGACCATATCACTTGTTTCCCCCTCTCTTCCACACTATACCACAGACACTTCAGCACTCACCATAAAACCACCAAATATATGGATTAGCTGCAGTTTACTTACAGTAACACCAACGAACCAATATTTCCTTCCTCGCTGTCTCCTAGCCTCATCACCTCTCAATTTTTGCTGTCTGGCGTCCTCAGTAGCTGCTATTATAATATTTTGGGTTGTATCTACAATAATATTTAACAAAAGAGAGAAATTCGCAGCAGTGTTAGTTGGTGTCTACATCCCCATGAAGGAGATAGTTGGGAGTTTTTTACTGCATTAACACACATACCAACATACCCTACTTCAGTGCTCAATGCTTTCACTGATTTTTCCAAAATTAAAGATTCTCCAGGAGCAAAGCCCCTGCAAAAACAGAGGCTTCATTGTATACCGAGTATATCACGGGTGGTTTCTTTTGAAATACTGACCATAAAATAACACCAAAGTGGTAATTTAGGCTAATATGCATATCTAGGCAGCTAAAGGTGCCCTAGTGTCAAAGGACATAGTCCTAGATCAAGCAATATACACATTAGATTATATTATTGGGGAGTGCTAAACCCAAAGGGATCATACAGCACCTGAGGGAATGGGAGGCACTGAGGTTCAATCCAAGGAAGAGGAGTACAAGTAATAAATAGAGTATACAGTAGGTACACAAGTTTTGTGAAAATGTTTTGATGAAAACATTACACCTTTCATCATGGAAGGTGTGATTGTGTTCATGCCAGCTGAAACATTCTATAGTCATATTAGCATGTGGAAAGGTTAATACAGCCTAACCTTCACCTCTTTTAGACCTGAAGGTTAGACTGCACAATTATTCCATGTCAGCTATATACTGCCAATGGACATCACCTTAGGTACAGGAATCTGGGAGTAGCCATGCAAGTAGTTTTAACAGAATGTGTTTCAGCAATCTCATCTTAAAGAGGATACCAAAGTAAAAACAGGATGCATCTTTTACAGGGTTGTCACCTTGTTAATGCATAGAAGGTGTCACAGAAAAATTTAATTACTGATAAAAATACAAAGTGAAAACCAATATCTAGATGCAAGATCTGACAATGATCCTTTGCTATAGCAATTTTCTTAAGACAATATGTACTACCTCCACGATATAGAAAAAATAAGGTTAATAAAACTATTTTTGTAAAGTTCAAAAAAGTTGAGCAAAAATGTAGTTCCATCCAGTGACAGGTGCCTTGGTACCAAATATATCATTCAAGATGGAAGCAGTACCAAAGCAACAATGAAGAGATAAAAGCCCTGTAAACTTGTATTAAGTTTTACAAAATGAGTTGCAAGTTGAGACTAAGATTTAAACCTACCCTAAATTCAGTACCATGGTGCCAAAGAATGCCATCTCAGGTAGACCATACAATGTTTACTGGTAATAAGGCAGCTGATATCTCATTTTGAGGTCAAGATACACGATGGGTGAAGGATGCTCATCCATCCCATGATGCGTCTCTTGACCCCCAAAAGACAGCATGTTCGTCATCCCAGATCTAGAAATGTAGGATAAGCAGAATGTATAAGGTGCCAACATGAACCCATTGGTTGAACTTGAAATGAAGAAAAAGATGAGGAAGTAGAAGACAAAGCAAAGATTATTAAAGAAAAAGAACAAATTTGAAAAAGGAGGGAAAAATGAAGAAAAAAGGAGGCCACCAAGCAAACAATTCCAATCCTACAAGAGTGAAGACTTAAATATACTAAGTTAATGCCTTGATTTATTACATATGTTAGTTTATTAGGTTCCTATTTAAATACATCAAAGACATCTGATACATTATTGCACAAACTGAAAAAAATATGGTAAATTATCTACAGTACACTGGCAGGTGCTGTACTAGATTGTTACCCTTCATGGCATGGTATGGAAGATATCTTCACTACACAGACAAGAGCAACACTGCACCTAAAACAACTAGATATGTATAAATCACAACAGAGCTACTGAGGAAGACCCTGGTTTCCTATCAGTACATGTATACCTCACTATACAATTTTATTTTATTTTTTTTTTTAACAAGTCGGCCATCTCCCACCGAGGCAGGGTGACCCAAAAAGAAAGAAAATAAATAAATAAATGCCTGGCTGCCCTCCCTTCACCCCATCCTCCTTCCCACATTTTCCATCTCCCTCATAGTCCTTGAGCACAAACAAATCCATCTGCGTGAACAAAATTTATTGAATGTATCACTACCTATTTGTGGCTACAGGAACAGAGTTATACTTGTGTCCCATCTTCAGCTTTCATGAACTTCTTAAGAGTGAAATAAGGTTACTTAAAAATTTACACACACACACACACACACACACACACACACACACCTTGAGCTTAAGCTGTTCAGAACTTACCCAAACTCACTAAAAGTATATAAATTTACAAAGAATTCTCACACCCATTTAAAAGCCAACTGTATTCAACTGTATGAGTTGCATTCATAAAATTGGCTCAACATCCCATTTAATTTATATTCTATATTATGTAACTGTCTGTAGTAACTTCTTGAAAATATTATTGTGCTCTGTATTGGCAGTTTATGTACAGTAAACCTTTGATGTAACAGTCTAATACGGAGGGACTGTGCCCAACACATAAGCACGCAGGGCCCCCTCACGAAATTCAGAGAGGCTAAATTAACATGTATGTGAAAATGACCTACACAATCGATTGTGTTCAGAAGCCACCACAGTAGTAGCAACCAGCACCATCCCACAGATATCCAGTTTCTATAGAATTTCCAAAGTTTTAGCAAAATGCTTGCTACCCAAGCTGGACACCGCCATTAAATGGCACCAGCCATTAATGTCATGTCTGCACCAGGGAATATTTGATTTGTTACTCCACTTCTGACAGGTCCTCCTCAAATCAGACCCACAACACCTCACCTGCCCTACAACCATTACCTCTGTTACTTCTACCCTCACACAGCTTGCTACCTAACTCCTGCTACTATATACGTATAGTACTTGTAGTACTATAGTACCTAGTACTATAGTACTAGGACTGAAGAAGTCACTTGTGACTTAAACACCTCCCCTAGGGAGGCACTTAAGGGAGAACAAGGGTAAAAGGAAGGAGTAACAGTTATTAATGTAGTAAACCAATGTCAGTCTAGAAATCAGGACGACTCTGCATTAAAAGTAGAATTATCAGAGAGAAGGGCAGAGAAAGCAAGCATATTAGGCACTGAAGTACAGGTTGAAAATCAGGCCAATATGATCTCTGATGAATAGAAGAGTAACAATTAAAAGATGTTGGGCTGTCAGCAAGACCTGATAATTCAGTTCTCTGGGTGGTGCACAGCACCATTCCAAAAAAAGAACATGCGATACTTTGATGCAACTAATGCATAGGCACTAGAATATCATTTCTTACAATGGATAGTGATAAAAGACAGTCAGAAGCCTAGCCACCATTTGATTAAAAAGCATGTGTTGGTCACTAAAGCAGAACAGTGGTGGTGCCAGTAATTTTGCAAGTCATGTTAGCCTCTGTTAAACTGGAGAATAACAACCACCTGAGGGAGACTGAAAAATTCTGAATCTCAGAAGAGGCAGAGGACTTCAAAAATTCACTGCTCTGAACTACAAAAGGCCAGGGACTCAGCTCTTTTGTGTCAGGTGAAGATACAGCATAGTTAGCACTGAATGCAACTTTGCAAGAGACAGCAAGGAATCAAAGCTTTGAAAATGCACTGTAAATTAATAAATTTATCTTGTGTGACATCTGCAGATCATAAAGCCTGCACAGACTGGGGAATCAAGAAACAACTTCTATTGCATATTGATGTAACAAGCTTTGCAACATGCAAAATATACATTTTTGCAAAATTTGGTTATAGTTAAAGCCCTAAATTCGCTTAAATAATAAGAATGCAGTTTTTTACGACTAAACAAAAATTAGATTTTGCCAGAATTTTTTTACAAGGTAAGTAATGTTTTATTTGCTCCATACCACTAGTTGACAGTATACTGCTGTCACTCATTTTCAACTTCCTTAAATCTAATTTCCTTAAAATACTATTCACACACACAAAGTGTTGCAGAACAAATTTTAGTATTGCAAAGCACAAATAACACACACTGTTAAATAATTACTCAAGTTATTTGGTTATTGGAACATGGAATATTTCTTAGTTGAACAAGACACACTGTTAGGCTTATTTTTAAAAAGGTTGACCTGAGCATAAAAAATCAACACATGTCAAGCCAACACACTGTTATATTATGGCAACAAGATAAGGAAGGAGGGATGGTTCAAACTTGTAGTGCAAATGCTTACCATATCCTTCTCAAGCTTGGCCAGAGACTCTGGGGTAATATCAAGCTTCTTCCATGCCTAGAGAAGGCCAAATGTAAAAATAATATAACCACATCATATAAAGCTTACTGTCAGGACAGATAGCTATATGTAAAAACACTAGAGTTATACAGTACATCTACAATTACACGAACTAGTATTTATTTGACCAAATCATAATGACAAATGACATTATAAGAACAGAGAAAGTAATCATGAGAACTGTATTAAGGCAAATATACTACACAAGAAAAGCACACAAAGGCCAAAGTAACTTTCTATTTTATACTCTATAGAATAACAATATTTTAAAGCTTAATACAGTACATACCATAATACATCTATGCATAATGCACACAACCAGATGGTACAATAATACATTAATAATAGATGAATAGTCTACATTGTGAATATTTACGGCTAACCACATGTGAATGGTTCAAATCTGTAGGGTATATTTTCATACTTTCAATTATGTCCAGCTGTAATATATTCTCTAATGATATTACAATATTTCTGCAGTGTGGAATTACTGTATTACCTATTACACATTCATCTTAAGTCATTTTTAGTATTTTTAAATTAGAGTAAACATGGTATAGTCAGTAGCATTTTATCTATCAGCATCAGGGACTGATGACAGTAAAGGCACTTGCTTATTATATTTGCTAGCGATCTCAATGAAGACTGTTTTTGCTGGCAAAGAACAGCTCCAAATCTAATGCATATGTGAATATGACAGTACTAAATGCTGGGCCAAAAGGTGGTAATGACCTCACACTTGGCACTCAAGAGTCCTTTGTAAACAGAGCGCAGTTATTTTCTATTTAACTCTCATCTCAGATATCAGAAGCAGCAATATAATCTGCTGGAATGCAAAAATCTCTTTAATATGGCAAATAAAACCCAGTCTTGTTTAGTGCACAGTGAGCTTATGCAGTATGTAGTCGTCTAGAAAAATACAATGCTGCATGTTTTTGCTTTGTCTTTTAACTTGCATGAGGTGGGGCATAAGACAAAAGGGTATGTTTTTCATTTAAAAATATTGTCTTTTTCCTTTTACAGTGCTTAAGAAGGCCCAGTTTTTCTAGCTGAAACCCTGGACATATACTATGGAAGCACTATAAAAAGTCAGACTGATGCATCCCATGACTTTCCTAGAAAAATTTTTTTGAATTCGGTCCCTGGGTTTATCAGCCTTTCCCCCCTTATCGCCCCTTATGGCCGGCTTTTCGGCTTTAGTTATCCTGCTAATTCACTTATCGGCCATATGGGACTCGTAAACCCCACACCCCAGCTATCACATTCATTGGGCTGTCTCTCTGGGCGAGTGAGAAAGCTTGCCATTCACCCAAAAAACATTTCACTAAAAACCATTGTTTTTTGGTGGTTATTTATTAAGTGCAACTGCGAAATAGGTAACCAGGGCCCCCAAAGAAAGTTCCTAAAAAAATTCCCTTTTGGGTAAAAAAAATGAGAAACATGGGGAAATTAAGAAAGAAATGTAGCAAATACAAGAGTGGTGGTGGAAAAGGGGGGTGTCTGGAATGGATATGTGGGGAAAGGAGGGTTTGTAGAGGGTTAGCGGGAAACGAACAGCCCCACAGCTGAGGTTTTTGTTTCAGGGGAGGAGGAAGAGAGGGGGGGAGAAATGTGCCTTCTTCAGTGTTTTAAGGGACTTATGCAAAATGGATGATTTCAGGGGTTGACTCTCAAGCACCTTCCTCCCTTTTTCCCATAAGCAAGAAAGCTTCAATAAAGGTATGAATATGTTTTAAATTTGTTCGTGTTTTTATTTTTTTTAGTTCTATTGTTTTGGTTGTAAAACTATAATTTTAATCTTTAAAAAAAATATTTTTTTTAAATTTTTTTTTGGGTGTCTGGAACAATTTTTTTTTACATTAATTCTTATGGGAAATATTATTTCTTTTTTTGGGCCCTTTTCGTTTTAGCCAAGCTTCTGGAAGGTTTAGGCTGATAACTGGGGTTTTCACTTTACTATATAAAAACCCCAATGGTGGAAAATACAGTGTGTCTGGAGTCTGTGTCAATAAACTTAGCCTGACTGACTTAAATGAACCCTATGCTAACCATATAAATATTATATCAAACAAAAAACTGAAAATTTGTACTGCAATGAAAACTCTGTGGTGATCCCTTTATGATCAAAAACCCAACGATAAATTTTCCCAAAGAAAATTTTAAAGGACTGGTCAAAAAAATTTACCTGTTTAAAAAAGTGGAAAATAGTTACTGTATTGTCTCAAGCTGAATAAAAAACATTCAATGGGAATACTTGAATAAAAAATTTTTTAAAAAATTTCGTGAAAAGTACGGTTTTTGGATGGTAAAAAACTAACAAAAATTTTTTAAATAACTTTAAAAACCAAAATCGGAAAAAAAGAACAACTGCATTATGGTGTCTCACTAACAATACAAAGAACTTGAAACGTACAAAGTTTTGAATTTGAAAATGATTAGGGAAAAAAAAACAAGGATACTGAAAGCCCACAAGGGGGCAGGGGGAAAAAAAAAATAAAACCCTATACCAAAATCATAACAGGATATGAGAAATTTTATAAAGGGAAAATTTAAAAACTGAACAGGAAAAAGGAAGCCTGAATTGCAAAATACAAAAAAAAGATGTGCAATAAGAGCATTAAAATTTTTTCAGAAATATTTGTAAATGCTGAAATAGGGTCAAAGGGAGGGGGTGTGCCTACAAGGACTGCAAGTTTTTAAAAATCATATAGCAAACAAAATAAAAGCTCAGAGAGTCAGGGTTTTATAAATCTAAACCAAATTCCTAGTGTGTTGTTTTGTAGCTCCCAGTGTATAAAGATGTGCGTCTGTCTTTTTTAAAAACAAAAATATTATTAAATTATTATTATAATCAAAAAAAAAGCCTAAGCCAAAAGGGGATACAGCGCTGCAGGGTAGGGAAGGGAAAAAGGGAATTGGTGGGAGAAGGGGGGGGGGATGATCACAGGTTACAGAAAACAGCGGGGCAGGGGTAGTACGGGGGGGAGGGTAGCAAAGATTGAAGTAGAAAGGCTGAAGTTTTTCGAATTTGTGAAGTCATCAGTCGTTTTCAAAAAGTCAATGAGGAGTCCCGGATGAAAGGTGGGTCCATCAGCGAGGAAGGGGAAAGGGAAAGAGAGAGCAGCGGGGCGAAGAAGAGGAGGTAAATTCTGCGTTTTTTGATAAAGTGGGCATCCAAAAGAATGTGGCTGCTGATAAAGGAGCTTTGGGAATTTCACAGAGGAGAAGACCCTCTCCATGAATATCCATGAGTAAAACGAGATGGAATGGAAGAGGGAGAGGTAGTCTCCAAAACCCCGACAGGTGATAAGAAGAGGCCGTAACCCATACTCGGTTTTTAGCTGAAGTTTTGTTGCCCCAGCATAGTAACCAACGTTGTTTTCCAACGGGTGTGAAAGGGGGGAAAAATATTTCAGCAAAATAGTCCGTACTGGAAACCCCTAAAGAAACTGGGGAGGTATGTCTGCTGACCCCGCACAGTGCTGCCTGTTCATTGCCCTGTCGTCAACATGACCCGGGGACCCAACAAAAACAAATCTTTTTTGCTTGGTAAAGATGCGGGGTAGCCAAAGGGTACGGGGACAAAGGGGGGATGTATCAAATTTTTGTATAGCTGTAAACACTAAAGGGGGTCTGAGACAAACCCCAAATGAACACAGGCATAGTGCAATACGGATAAGTGCGTAAGGATGGGGATTAATTCAGCAGTAAAAAAACGCCCAAGATAGTAAATGCCCCTTTTACGACCTGTCCGGAAAAAACTGCTGCGAATCCTACGCCGTAAAGGGAAGACTTAGAGCCCTCTGTGTACACGCAATGGCATAGAATGAAGTGAAATGGGCAAGAAAAAGAAGCGGGAAGCGACCGAAACGTTGGCTTTCGGAAAGGGGGAGGGAGAAAGAACGACCAAACAGCTGGAATTTCCCCCAGGGGGGTAGGAAAAGTGAGATGCTACATGACTTTAAAAGGTGGTAGTTGAAGAGAAGACAAAGCGAATGGGCAAAAAAAAGGGAGGGATAACGGGGGCGGGAAAAATAAAGAATTCACTAAAACGTGACCATTTTAAAGGGAAGGATTGCGGAGATCAGAAGCATACATATAGCGCAGCAAGGGGGATCACGGCGATGGGAAAAGGGGAAACGTTCGTTCGCAAGGGCTTTCGACGGGGAAGAGCAAAAAGAAAACCCAAGGCAAAAAACAAATCCTTGGGATGAATTGGGGGGTTAAGGCTAGAGAGAGTACGGGAGATGCCGCTGAATAGATCTGGTCACCAAAACAAGTTTCGATAAAAAAAGGGGTGGAATGGGGTGAAGGAGGGTTCGCGATCACTCCCCAAAAGATGAGCAAGGTTTTAAGAAGGTTCAGCCGGCTGTGACAATTTGCCTTCGAGAGGTAATGTGAGGTTTCCGGGATAACCTACGTCAAAGAGGGGCCCCAAAATTTGGGTTTATCATTTCAGGGATCGGGAGCCTGAGGTAAAAAGGATATCGGAGATGACAGACGTCTAGTGAAAGTGATTTGGTGGGTTTTAGTGCGGGAAAATTTTAAACCCATTTTGGGGTAGCCAATTTGGGAAACACGGTCGACTGCATTTGGGAGAGAAACTGAAAGGGGGTGACAGTCACCCCTGCACAGGCAATAGCGAAGTCTTCAACAAGGTAAAGACCAAATTTTTGATGGAAACAAGGCCAAATCTTAAAGAAAGGGAGGAAAAGTTTTGTGCTCAGAAACACCCCTGGGGGCCCCTTTCAGCTTGGAGAAGTGGGGGAGAGCACATTAAAAACCGAACCGAAATGCCTGTCAGTTAAAAAGTTCTTAAGGAAGGAGGGTAGAATTCCTCGAAGGCCTAAGGAGGGGGTTTGGGGGCTAAAAATTTTAAACCTCCAAGTTGTGCATATGCCTTCTCAAGGAAAAAAAATAGGCAAAACTGAGTGGTTATTCGAAAAGGCATTACGAACATAAGTATCCAAGCGCAGTAAGGGGTCTATGGTGAACTC